TCCTGATTTATTCTCAGAAACCAGGTGGTCTGCGTGTGTCGCAGTGAACGCAGATATGCTCCTCTCCAAAATTCTAGGTGCGCGCAGACAGGAAGCCTCTGATTGGTCCATTCTACAATTTTTTCTCATTTCATCTTACATAGAAGTTTACCTATGATGAAAATTACAGACCTCTCATTATTCTAAGTAGGAGAACTTACACAATCTGACCAAATACTTTTTGGCCCCCCTGTATCTACAGAATAATCCTTCCAGTCATCCACGGTGGGTTTGCTAAGCTGCTAACGGTCTCCTGCCTTCAGAAATGACACCTAAGGGGGGGGTTAAGGAATAAGATCTCAGGCTCTGACGGCCCACTAAGATGACCAGAACATCCATCTTGTTTCTTCTCTAAATTGTGGTTTTACTAAATGAATTTACTGTTTGCAGTGCATCCTTCCCTCAGCGCTGGGAGGGACCTTTTCAGGGACCAAGTGGCTCCTGGGGGCCAACATCCCATAATGGTGAAGAATATCAACCTTTACTACTATATTTGAAAGTGATTAATAAATAAAAGCTGGACTTTCTCTCCCAAATAGGATCCCATTTACAAGGCGATAAGACTGACTATAGATTTATACTCCAGGTTGTTTTTTTTCTTAAACTGAATTAACAACATGGAGCTGAATTGTGAATATTGAGCAGAATGCTGTAAAAACATGTCCCAGTTTCCTGTTCTTACCAGTGAGGCTGGACTCCCTGCCGAGGGTGTCTGCTGGGCATTCGGAGCGGGTCGCTGTCCGACTCTCTTCTTCGCTGCGACTCCTCATCTTCCTCTCTTCTGTTCTTCCTCTCTGGTCCGGCTGTTTGTTTCTCTTGGGACGGCAGCAGCCGAGTCCTCACCTTCTGTGCCAAACTGTCTGCATCTTTATATACACTTAAAGAAAGAGAGGTTTTAATCTGGAGACGTCTATGAAGGAAAGAAGGTTAAAATACTTTTGTGTCTAAATTAGTTGTTGAAATACATTCAAGTTTAACCTTAATCCAAATGACACAAAACTCATATGGGTGAGTAGAACATGATGTAACAACGGAAAATCTAGGGCCCAATGTAAAAAAACGGCGTTCCCCTTTAACCAACTCTCTGTATTTATTTATTTATCTATCTTCTTTTATTAATCTATTTATTATTATTATTATTATTATACTACATCTTTTTATTTTACTCTGTTTTTGCTCTGGGTTATATCCATCTTCTGAATGATGCCGGAGGGGGCGGGGCTACAAAAGGTGAGTGATGATAATTACAGTACTTATTCAAGAATTTGTATTGCACACGTTTATACTCAAAATTAAATAAACCTAGCTTAAAAAAAAAGAAAATAAAAAACTTTTTAGGTCTGAATTACTTCGATGGTGGGAACAAACAAAACTAGTGATGTTATGAGATTAGCCGAGGCTGCAGGGTGAGCGTCGAGTAATGGAGGGGGCGTTTCCCCGAAGCGCATATCGAGGCTTGCTTCATTTAGGGGAGGGGCCAAATATAGATTGGGTAAAAACACTGCAATTTAGATTGGTTAATTTAACCAAAAGATTGGTTGAAAACAAATCTTCCAACCTGAT